ATCACAGAAAACTAAATATCGCAATGTCAGTTTTTTTTTCAAAATATCATACAGCCTTACAAGAAAATCTGTTTCTTAAAAAACATTTTATTGTAATGTTCAAAACATTACAGAATATGAACAGACCATCCTGACTGTTGAGCCCTGATCTTAGTAATGATGGTGATGGTAAATGAAGAGATTGTGTTTGACTTTTATCTGTACTCTCTGCAGACTTGTATTATGGGGGGGAGGCATTCTCAGTAGAGCAGCCTCAGTCATTTACTTGTCCTTACTGTGGTAAAATGGGCTACACGGAAACATCTCTACAGGAGCATGTGACCTCAGAGCATGCAGAGACCTCTACAGAGGTGGTGAGTACACATGCTGTCTTTGCTAAAATCATGTGTTTTACACCGTGTCTTAAACGGATGTGATAAGATTCCAGTGACAAGCAAATTGAAATTGTCTGTCCACACTAGATGTAACAAAATCAACCACAAATCACAGCCAATCAGAAGAGCGTGTTTGCTGTCTTGCACTAGCAAAAAATACGTTAATTAATTTAGGGCTGCAACAACTAATCGATAAAATCGATTATTATCGATAATGTTTCAAAAAGGCGGGGCATAGAGGAGAAACAATAATGTACAGTATGTGGAAAATAATGTGTTTTTTGAAACTTAAACCGCAAAAACACATTTCATTACACCAGATACACAAAATAATGTTCTTTTTAGCAACATCATAGGACCCCTTTAATCAGTCTCCTAACTAAACGGGATATGATAAGATTCCAGTGACAAGCAAAAAGCCTGTCCACACTAGATGCAACAAAATCAACCAAAAGAAGCATGCTTGCTGTTTTGCACTAGAATACCTAAATCAATAAAAACTAAACCATTTAAAAATTAAAACTATATACATATTTACTGATACAATCTTTGTATAGAGTTCACAGCTTTGACTTGTAAAGTTTTATTTACTTTCAATATCTGAGATAAATAATCCATTGTCACTTTAATTGACTGTTAAAGTCATGCTCAACGATATTAAAATAAAAAATAATTAAATTAAATTAAATCATTTTAAGATTATACAAATCACATATTTGAATGAGCACATCAACTGAAAACAGCATAAATCGATTCTTGGGATTTATAAATCAATGTCGGTTCATTAAAATAAGAATAGATTAAAATTGAAAAATCATTATTTTCAACCCAGCCCTATTGTAGAGCAATGTCAGGTTTTCTTAAGACCTTTATCATCAAAGTTTGATGTAGTATTTAAAATAATGCCTGTTCACAGCAAACACAGATCATCTGCAGGAATTTACACCAAAAATATTTACTAAGAAAGTGATGTGCATTTTCATCAACCACTGGGAGAAAAAGTCAAATTCCTGAACTAGTCATTATGTGTTTTAATGCAAATGCACTTGCTTTAAAATGTTAAACATGTTCTTGCTCTCCTGGAATGGAAGGGATATATAACGGATAATATAATAGAGAGAAATAGGGATATATTATCGCAAAATAATTATAATAGTGGTCTTCTGTTCTGGTAGTAGTAATAATAATCTGCAATTGCTTTTTATATCACATCTTTTGACTCTTCTTGCTGCTGTGACTTTACACTCTTTGTCTTTCAATTATAAGAATATCAACAGCTCCTCATCTGTCTGGTGTGCTGGTTACAGACACATGACCACAAAGATTTGGTTTTCCAGTGTTATTACTATTATTTATTTTTTCAAAATGAAGCCCATGCTATGTAACAACAAACCTTTTGTGCCTAACCCACTTTTCTAAGGATTCCATAGCAATGCATTATGTTCAGTTTACACTCTGTGTGAATCCACTAGTAATATTAATGAGTGAATCCATGAAGTACATTTATGCACTACAGCTCAACCATGTTCTGTTACTTTGTACCTTTAAATATTAGCTTTAATTGTAATGAAAATAATGCAACCATGAATAAGCATGTCCATCCAATGTGAGGTTACATTAATTCATTATTAATATGTATCTGTTCTCTGTTTCAGATTTGCCCAATCTGTGCAGCTTTGCCTGGTGGCGACCCCAATCATGTGACAGATGACTTTGCTGCTCATCTCACACTTGAACACAGAGCACCTAGAGATTTAATATCCTTTTATCTTAACCTAATGTGTATATGTCCGAGAATACGTATAATGGACTTCTTTCATAAAACCCTTCCATTCAGTGTTCAATTTATTCTTTATGTAAGAACGATTTTCAGTTTACACACATTGGTTCTGCTCATGTATAATGACTGAGGCCTGTGTGTTCAAGTCACTTCAGAGATCACCTCACAAAGGTTTATTGAGGTTTTGTGTCCGTACATCTTTAAGAAATGTAAAGATTCTTCTCACAGAACTTTGTTTTTACTTCTGTGTATTACAAAAAATATTTCAAAGAGTAGTTATGGTTGCTCTTTTCAGTGCAATTACAATGAATGGGGGAAGCTTCCAAAAGAATGTCAATGTCTGATTCATAAATGAAAATTATTTTGAATTGGATCTTTACAAAACCATTCTGAATGATTTGTTCACAAACTGGGCTGATTCGCACATCAAGCTTCAGTTCACTCAACTTGATCTGGTTGCAGAGTTTAAAAGCTCACTGGAACTGAAGATTTTCATTGAATTTAAATCTGAATTTTAAATCATTATTATATTACTTCAGTGGTGTCTTTGTGTCATATTTGAATCTGGAACAATTCAGTCACATCTCATCATAAATCCATTAATAATTGTGGCCAGTATGGTCAAAGTCCCTTTAAGGCAAGTCATGTCACTCGGCGGCCATCTTTGAAACGCCTCTCGGGCATGCAAGTGCAGATCCTATCACTTTGAATGGGGAAACATCAAATTCTCCAAAACTGTTCACTATGCTTATGATTAAATTTTATATTTGAAATCACCAATGAAATCTGACAACAACTATGTCATAAATGTTGTTTCTTTTGCTCAAATAGCGTTATAAAAAGCTTATTTTTCAGGCTAGATCAGCCAGTGCGCATGCGCAGTCCTGAGCACACGTCTCAGAACGTTGACTGTTTCTATAGCAACCGGAACTTCTAACGGACGTGCTGACTTTACCGATTAGTGATTGGCTCTTTCATTCTGAAGGCGGGGCCTCCTGCGATTGAGCGGCCATATTAAGTGTTGCATTTTTCCACATTCAAAACTATACGAGTGACACGTCTTGGGTATTCTATAGTCTTTGGTATAGTCTTCAGAATGTCTCCTTTTGTGTTCCATGAAAGGAAAGACACACAGCTTTGAATTGACATGAGTGTGAGTAAATGACTGAATGAAATTTTATTTATTATAAACTCTTCATTTCAAGGATAACTTTGCCATTTTCAACCTGCTTTGTATTGTTGCAATGTTGGTAGTACTTGTAAATGAACAATGTGTACTCTGTGTTACCTGCACTCAGATACCCATATTATTTGTCAGTAAAAGTTCACCTGAGGACATAAAACACGTCACTTTGCATCATCTGGTTGATTTTTGACAGCTCCAGGGTTTTTATTAAAACTACAAATCAAACTTTGCATTTCTGCATTCCTGCCAATGAATTGTTGTATCAACAGTTTAAAACAGTTTTTTGGCTTTTGCCTCTTTGCTTAAAGAGATAGTTCAACCAAAAATGAAAATTCTGTCATTAATTACTCACCCTCATGTCGTTCCAAACCTGTAAGACCTTCGTTTATTTTTGGAACACAAATTAAAGGGTTAGTTCACCCAAAAATGAAAATTAGCCCATAAATTACTCACCCTCAAGTCATCCTAGGTGTATATGACTTTCTTCTTTCAGACGAATCCAGTCGGAGTTATATTAAAAATTGTCTTTGATCTTTCAAGCTGTTTAATGCCACTCAGCGGGTGTTGCATGCATCAGTCCAAAAGAAGTTAAATAAAAAGCACCCATCCATAAAAAAAAAAGTGTCTCACACGGCTCTGGGGGGTGAACAAAGGCCTCCTGTAGCGAATCGATGCGTTTTTGTGAGAAAAATATCCATATTCAAAACGTAATAATCACTTTAATGTAGCTTGCGCCAACAGTTGTACACGGAAGCAGCTTCGGGCGGATGACGTATTAGTTCAGCATTGCGCATGCGCTGCTCAGAAGTGACAAACGCGGAAGCGCAGCCGAGAGATCAAAACAAAACAACGGTCACTTATTAGAAGTACAAAACGAGGATTTGCAAAGAAGAATGTCGGAGGATTTCGATAAAAGCCAAGAGGAGACTGGTTTTCCTTT